TTCTAATACCCCACTCGACCTCAGGGCAGCTCTGGCTGCATCCTTCCCTCCCCCCTCCCTATTTCTCCTCTGTTTCCTAATTTTGGCTTTCCAAGAGGACTGATCCTGATTATCTTTTGGTACCAGTTCCACCCCAGAGCCAGAGTTCTATGTCACTAAGCCAAGCCTTGGGTGACATAGGTCACCCCCCCAACCTTTCCATGTGGTTGGGGAGACAAGATCAGATGACAAAAAGCTGGCCACACCCCACTTAGCTGGGCTGACAGGGCTCAGGTGCCACAGTGCGTAGCGAGCACCCCCTCTCCATACACTCTATAGATACACTGTATGTTCTCTATGGAGAACAGTTGGCAAAGTAAACCCTGTCCTTTGAGAGGCACGGAACATTTGCATGAGTTCCCTAGACAGGCAGTCCTTTAAAGCTGCTGTTTGTACGTGTTCACGGCAAAGCCCTGTGGATTGTTTAGGGACTTTCTTTCTAAAGGATTTTATTTATTTACTTGTAGAAAGAGGGGCATGGAGGGAGAAAGAGAGGGAGAGAAGCATCCGTGGGGACTGGCTCCTTTCGTGTGTGCCTGCCCGGGGACGGAACCCGCAGCCCAGGCATGTGCCCTGGCTAGGAATCCAAGTGGCAGTCCTTTACTCTGCGGGATGATGCCTCGCCAAGAGTGTCACACCGGTCAGGGTATTCAGGGGCTTTCTTTGGTTGTAATGATAGACTCCACTGGAATCACACTGCCTCAGCCAGTCTCATGTGGCAATGGCCATTTACTTGTGAAATGGGAGTTTAGAGAGCGGCTGCTCCAAGTGGCATGGTATTTCTGTGTGGTGCCGTCAAAAGCCTGGTTGAGAAAAAGGTTTTTATGCTCTACACACGACTTGTTGGAGCAGAGGAAACGCTCAGACTGCTGCAGATTCCACGTGTGGCAGCGTTTTGTGAAGTGCGCAGCGAGATGCACAATGACGTCCCCAGCGTCCGGCGGATGGCGAGATGCGGCCGCTGCTATGACCTTGGCAGGAGAACAGTTATGCGGCGCCTGCGGGCTCCTTCATGGCTGGTTGGTTTGGACTCCCGGGCAGACCCACGGGATAAACACGCAGTTTTCTGAGACTTGCACCAGGTGAATTGGTGAACGAGGGAGGTTTTTCTTTGTTTTTTCTTTTTCTTTTTTCTTTTGAACCATTGGCAGCTCATTCAGAGCAGAGATCTTCAAACTGAGGTACATGGACTTTTGTGGGACAAAAGGATTCTTAAAAGTTATTGCAAGCGGCTTGGAAAATTAAATGGAAGAATCAATTTCTAGATTCTCAACTGCTATATATATTCTCTCTTAGAATTGTTCTATCCGAAAATGGGCCTTTGGTTCAGATTCTTAGCTCCCCTTTTACAATTGTCCTTTCCCTACTTTTAAAAAGAAAGACATACCCCCACCTCATTGCCTTACCCCTCTGCATCCCCAGTGTTACCACCCTGCTTTGCTCAGGGTATAAGAACTGTGGGTGGGGCCAAACGATGTGCAGTGTAAAGGCAAATGTTGAGATTGGAGAGCGTTCTACTCCCGGCTCCACATCTCCTGGATCCAGTGATTCCCAACGTTTGTGTCATCACAGATGAAGGGAGACTTAGCAGCTGAAAGATCACTCCACACGGTTCGGAGCGGTAAATTCCTGACTGCTTATGGTATACCATTTGGTGATATTTGTGTAACAAATGGCTTTCATTCACAACTTCTTTTATTTATTTATTTATTTAAATTTATTTTTAGACAGAGAGGAAGGGAGGGAGAAAAAGAGAGAGAGAGAAACATCAATGTGCAGTTGCCTCTCATGTGCCCCCAACTAGGGACCTGGCCTGCGACTCAGGCATGTGTCCTGACTGGGAATTGAACCAGTGACCCTTTGGTTCGCAGGCCAGTGCTCAGTCCACTGAGCTACACCAGCCAGGGTCACAACTTGTTACTTTTGTGAGTAAGTTTTATTAGAATTTATAGCTTTAAAAATTAAAGCAGATACAGGATTGTTGCTGAACCTGTCTCATTTCAGTATGAAGTATTATTATTTTAGGGAGAAACAAAAAAACCCATTTATTTATTGTCAACTATAATTTCAATACAGTTTCACTTTTAATTTTTAATAATTGTACATTTTGTGTCACAATTTAAATTTGTTTATGTTTTTGATGAATTGCATACTGCTAATCATCACAATAATAGGTCCATCCAGGAGAAAAGATGTTTTCTAAGACAGAGGTTTGTGATCATAAGATATAAAAATATTCCATTTCCATACATATTTTCATTGCAGAGTAATATGGTAGGGTGATCAACGTGACTTTCAAATGTAAAATTACTTTGCACTAAGATGTGTGTGGGATGGAGAATAGAAATATGAGTTCGAGAAGAAAAATGCGGTGAAGACCCTGTTAAAGAACTTGTGGGCAGACAGCATAAGCCGATGGCGGTGAAGACGGATTGCCACAGTGTCCTGACTCTCAGGCCACGCCTGAGACAGTTCTGCAGCAGTTTTATCCTAGGTCGCCATTTACAAGGTTCCAAAGTACACTCTTGGGAGCTATTGAAACAGAAGATGAAAGTTTTTAGATATTAACTTAAGAAAAAGAAGAGTTGGTGTGCAGAGGTTTTTCAGAATTTTTACGGGAACGTGAGAACAGAAATGTCTGAAGCCCGCTGTGCTGGGTGTCACGTGGGAGGAGGGATGCACATTGGAGTCAGTTCTGCCATTTATTAACTCTGCTGCTTTGCACGAATGACTCAGACTGATCCAGCTGTCTTTCCTGTACAGTGGAAAAAACACTTGTCTTACTGAACTGTGGTGAGACCTCAGTGATTGGGTGTGAGCAACACTTAGCAAAGAGCCCTGCATGTGTTGGTAGATGTCACTTCAGTTCGCCCAGAGCTGTTGTGGTCCCTCTGCACCTCCCTTCCTCCACTGCCACACATTAATTCAAAGTTACGGCCTCATCTTACCTCCCTATTAAACATAGTCGATTCACATTCTGAGGGTCCCAAATATGTCCCATAGGTTTGCTCATTCAATGAATAAATACTGAGCACTTACTATATCCAGGCATTGTTATGGCACAGGGGATAAATCTGTGAATAAAAAAGATGACATCCCTATGGTCATAGAGCTGAGGTGACGAGACTGCGTTGGGCACACCCCGTACAGTGGTGTCTGTTCATTGTTAGTACTTGTCCGTTCACACTGGGCAGTCCCACCGACTGACGGGGAGACCAGCCGGATCTCTGCCGATGGGTCCATCAACCCACCCAGCCATCAATCCAGTCATCCAGCAACTCAATCAAAATGTGCTAAGAAACTCCTAGGTGTCAGGACCATCATTCACAATAGGGCAATCTTACTCTGAGGGGTGACCATAGCGACACTCTATTTTAATAAAATCCCCCTTTCTGCACCCTTTATTACAGCTGTGCATGGGGAATAATTGCATCATTATTGATATCGGTTTTGAGGTCAAAATGCAAACATCTCTCTGGTTTTATTTGATTTTTTAATAGTGTTTCCTATTTGTTTAAAATATTGACTACATTTTAAGTGATTCAAATGAATTTATGTATTCTTTGCAAAACAACAATTAGTTTTATTGAGACTGGCTTCTAGAATGCAATGTAAAAACTATTTATTTAAAATGATAGATTTAAGAATGGGAAAAGACCTAGGCACACAAAGGAATTCTGTTTCTATTGATTTTGAAACAGCATCATGGAATGTTGTTCTGCCACTTACTTAGAAAATTAGTCTCCCATAAATACAGCATTGAGTTAGTTTATTCAGATTTTTTATCCAGAAATTTATAAATAGCTTACAATACTCAACACTCCCAGCTTTCTTCTCTCTACCGCACCCTCATAGGTTCTGCTGTTCAAAGAAGCCAAAGTTTTTAAGATGAGGCATTTCCATCCTGTGAGCTAAGATCTTTTATCCAAGTATAGAGTTCTTTGAGCCACAATAGTCTCTCTTTTTTTATTGGGACAAAGGTCACAAAATAAAATTCGCCAGGTTGACTCTTCAAGTTTGTAATTCCGTGGGTTTTAGTATATTCGTAACCTGCAGCCATCGCCGCCAATTCCGGAACGTTTCTCACACCCCACAGGAAACCAGGAACCTCCCGGTTATTCCCTCTGCAGACTTCTGAGAACTACTAATCTGTTTTCTGTCTCTATGGACTTGCCCGTTTTGGATATTTCACGTACATGAACTCATACAGCATGTGACTTCTTTCACCCAGCAAGATATTTTCAAGGTGCCTCCACGTGGTAGCCTCTGTCAGTGCTCCGTCTCGTTTTATGGCTGAGTGTCTGTGAGGATCTAGCACATTTTGCTTATCCGGCCACAGCATTGTGAGTGATGCTGCTATGAATGTTCACGTACAAGCTTGTGCGTGAACCTACATTGTCAACTGTCTCGGTTACACACCCAGCAGTGAAATTGCTGGGTCAGAGGGTAACTGTGTTTAACTTTCCGAGGAGCTACCAAAACATTTCCACACTAGTTGTATCATTTTATATAAAATATTTTATATATATTTAGTGCATGTGTGCAAAATATGTATTTCTAAATTAGAAGGTTCCTTTCCTAGCTTCAAAGAATAAAAAAAAAAGAAAAGCACTCCAGTGAATTTTACCTTGGACTTTTAGGAAAAACGTTTACATAAAAGAAAATTCCACTGAGAGAAATGAAGCAATCATTTTTATGCAAGCATTTTATGTATATATGTATATATAGATAGATCTTTTTACTTCTCAAAAGTATATTTGACATATAAGGAATTTGAGAATGTCTTTATTTCTAATAATAAAAATGGATATTTATTCAGTTTGACCAGCACTAAGGATAGGTTAGGTCAAAAAAATTGAACTTCTCTTTCAGAAAATATTTCATCACTATGAATAAGAAGAGCAAGTACAGTATAATCCATGCTGGGTTTTAAGAGAGACATTTATATTTACCGTGGACAGACTACACACCCAGGACGTAGAGCCTCACTCATGAAGGGGGCTTGTCTGGAAGAGGGGAGCAGCCGACACACCTGTTTCCGAGGACCCAGACCGGCTGTGCTGTAAGCCTCGCCTCGCATGGAGTTAGTAAGACACGTTTTCAGGTGGATCAAGCCCTTGGCCACAAACCCCTGGTGAGTGTCCTTGGTACTTTCATTCAATAATGTCTCCTCAGTGTCAGTTCTGTACATGGGAATTATATTAATGTTCCTGTGTCAGAAAGCCAAATTGTTCCAGGAATCTAAGGATGATGCCTGACATCTTGCAACTCGTCTTTATTATTAAACATGGATCCTTGCTCCTTTTCCTGAATTGCACCCAGGGGATCTTACCTGCTGGGAAGATGCTCATTTAAGGGCTGCAGATTCTTGCTCTTACACGCTAGGTTTGAATAGCAAAAACCTTTCTCTATGTCCAGAGCAACAGAGTCCCTGTGACTAGTAGAATTAGGACAACGCACTTCATGAGAGCAGTAAGCGGGACAATGACCCCAAAGAGGTCCATAGCCTAATCCCCATGAATATGTTGTGTTTCATGGCCAGGGAGATTTGCAGGTTGCACGTGGAATGAAGAATGCTGATCAGCTAACCTTTCCAGGGGGAGATTATCCTGGATTATCAGAGTGGCCCTGGTGCAAACACAAGGGGCCCTAGAAGGACCAGAAGGAGGCAGGATGGTGAGAGCCAGAGAAGGGATGTGATGGAGGCAGACGAGGTCACAGGGATTCGGCCAGAGGGAGACCTGACCCACCACTGCTGCTGCTTGGAGGCGGCTGGGAGCAGGAGCCAGGGAGTGTGGGCAGCCTCTAGACTCTGGACAGGGCAGGGAAACCGATTCTCCTTGGGCGCCTCCAGAAGGAACCCAGCCCTGCCAAGCCGCTGGTGTTCCCCAGTGAGACCCAGTTTAGACTTCGGACCCCCAGAACCATACAGTAATAAATGTGCATTATTTTAAGCTGCTGAATGTGTGGTGATGCATTGCAGCAGCATTAGAAAGCAAATATGACATTGTGACAAGTGACTAAAAACCACGTTGGGCATAAAGGTATAGAAATGCTAGAATAGTGAACAAGAGGAAGCTTTGAAGCTGCTGAACATGTATTATGGGCATGAAGAAAGGAGAATGTATCTATCAGAAGTGCTTATTTGGAGAGGGTGTCTTCATTGTGAATGGTTCTTTAAAGAAACCCTTACTTGAAAACATATACAGCTGCAGGAGGAGGAAGGAGAGAAGAGGTGGAAACAGTAGTGGCATTCGGACCTGACCTGGGCCATCCCTTCCCCCTCAGTGCCCCTCTGCCTGTGACCTTTTGAGCACATTAGTTAATGTTTCTGAGTCTGTTTGCATTGGGTAAAATGTGGAAAACACGTGCCCTGACTACAGTTTTAATGAGAAGCAACATACAGAGGCCCAGACTGCGAGGAGATATGACCTTTCCTTATTTGCAAATGTCCAAAGTGGTAAGGACTCACTCAACAAACCACAGTTGTAAATACTTGAACTTGATTGAAAAGAGTTTCTTACAGTGTTCGACACCTCTTTTACTCTCTTAATCTATTTACTTGCTTCACTGAAATTCCAACCTGGCCTTTCTGGGAATTGTCCTAAGTTTGAATAGAAGGGTTGGGAGAAGGGGGGCTTCAGTGCCGAGGCAGGTAAGAGCCCCCCATCTCCCAGCCCGTGCCCCACCCAGGGCAGTGGCTCTGTGGTGACAGGAGGAAGGGGGAGAGGCTGGAGGGGGAGGGCAACCTAGGACGTGAGGTTTTGGGTAGGAAACGACTCTGTGCAGAACAAAGGACAAGGCCGGCAGAGGAATCACAGCCCTGGCTGGGGCCCTTGGCCTCCCACCTTGCAGACGCGACAAGTGGAATTCCCAGCTCCATCACAGCTGTTTTAAGGGTGGATATGGAAGCTCTTGGGCAACTGTAAGACTGAAGCAAATGTGTGTGAATGTTTAGTGGTTTTCTTAGTCAGTTCTGGCTGCTGTGACAAATGCCACTGTGTGGCTTCTAAGCAACAGGAATTGATTTTTCACAGGTCTGGAGCCTGGAAGTCTGAGATCGGGGTGTCAGCAAGGTTGGTCCTGGGGGGCGCCCTCTTCCAGATTCCAGACCGCTGACTGCTCGTTGTATCTTCCTGTGGTGGGAAGAAGGGGGGAGGGCTGTCTGGGGTCCCTTTGATAAGGGCCAGAATCCCATTCATGAGGACCCCACCCTCTTGACCCAAGTACCCTCTAAAGGCTACATCTCATTACACTATCACACTGGAGTTAAGATTTCAGCGTATGCATGCGAGGGGCATTCAGACCAGACAGTGGTCTCCTTGGTTCATTTATGTTAAACCGTGTCTATAATCCTGATGTTACCCCCATGGATTTCTGCCTCAATTATAAGACCCTGAACTACCTAACTCTTCCCTAACAAGTCCCTTTATTTCCATTCCTTCCAAACCATCTCCCAGTCCAGTTAGATTTTCCCCCCTCCTCCCTCCTTCCAGCTGGCTCTACTTCATGTCGTTCAGCCTACGCAGTCTTTGCCCTGTCCCTGAGCAAAGCTGCCTCCTTTCCGGTCTGCTTTTCATTCCAAGAGTCATCTTCCCTCAGTCCTCTGTCCGTGCAGGTCTCCCCTTCAGGGTCCCCATGGTACCGAGCACAGCGAGGACCTCACCAAACGGCTGTGAGCACTTCCTGACTGATTAACAAGGGGAAAGCTAATGAAGACAGCCAGAGAGGGGACAACATTTATCTTGTCACTGAAGCTGGTGTGCTGGTGACGGCAGCCTATTAGACAGAAAGAGAAGCTTTCCAGGATTAATTCCTTTATTCTCTATCTGTTTGGTTTGGTTTGCATGAAAACAGTTTAAATTCATCTGCAATTTTTGCTTTTTTTGTAGGTCACTCATCCTTCTTGTCTTTTCTATGCAACATGTATATGGGGTAAGTACAGTGATGAGCTTTGACTGCATGTTGAAAATTCACTTTATTGAACGCATTGCTTTTGTTATCCTTTTAAACAAGTCACTCTCTGGGGTTCAGTTTTCTCCTCCGTAAAATGAATGGTTGGATTAGATGAGCTCTAAGCTTTCTTTTATATTTTACAGCCAAGACTGCTTACCAAACTGCCTCTAAATGGTATTGGAGATTTCTTTATTTTATAACATAGTCTTTCTTAAAAAGCTTTTTGGAGAGGTCCAGGAAGCAGCTGGTCCGTTTCAAGATTAAATCAAGAAGTATAAGATTAACTCTGGAGAAAGATAAGCCTAGAACACTCTGTAATAAGATCTGAGAATCTAAGTTATTAAAACCCAAACTCAGATGTTTCTGGAAAATTCTATGGGCTGCTTGTAACTCAGGTTAACCTCGAGATAACTGGACTGGTTTAAATCACTCCAGGGAACCCATTTCTGCCTGTCCATCCTCTCCAGCGGAGTCCCACCCAATCCGATTTCTATGATGCCACTTATCACAGGTCTTTTCAAAGCAAATCCAATAGGAAGTTTCTGTTCTCTTGTTCTTACTGGTCAGGAGTAGAGGGCATTCATGTTCAGAAATGAGATGCCTTGGTTCCTGACTCTCACAATGATTAATCTCCATTTATCCAAGACTCAGTTTTCTCCTGATTAAAGTTAGGATGCTAAGACTTGCTCAGCTTAGTTCCCATGTCTTTGAGAACATCACCAGAAATAATAAATGGAAACACACTGAAGTATATATGTGTGGATTTTTTCTGTGTCTCTTACTTGGTACTTCTAAGTTTATTTTTGCATTTTTTTAAATTATGGAAGTTTTCAGAGTCCTGAATTTCACTTCCTTTGTTCTTACATTTCATATGAGTGAATTTGATTCCTGACCTTGACTGCCCTGAACTAAATTGTCCTGAATTCTCCTACCAGCCTGAGTACACAAGAGATTCTAGAGTTCTCATAGAGAGTGCTCATACTATTGTTGGGTTTTAAATGTAGGGGTATAAATTGCGGCAGTATCTACAGGAGATAATCTATCCTTCAGGGTTTTAAGTTCACAAACCTGTTGACACAGGACTTCCTCTTTTTGGAATTCATCATATATATGTATACTGATATGTGCATAAAGACAAATGTACAAGAAGGATACTGTTCAGGAAGTGAGATAGCTAAATGTCCATCAGTAAGGACTAATTATACAAGTCATAGTACTTTGTCTGACGGATAGCCAAGTGCATTATTTTGGCATGATTTTGAAGTCATCTGATTAAGTAAAAAGAGCAAAACACAGGGAAATACACCATTTTGGTAAAAATAAACCAAAATCACCAAAAAAGTGTGTGTCTGTGTGTATGTATACACAGTGAGTATATGAATGTGCTCACAAACACCCAGATGCCAATTTGAAGAGATTGATTACTTCTAGGTGAAGGAATAGGGGCCAAGATGGAAGGGAAAATGTCTTTTCTCTTTGTACTTGTGCACTATTTGACTTTTTTTAACCATGTGTACATTATTTAATAACTTGTTTCTTGAACTTTCTATGCAATAAACACTCATTTAAAAGTATCTGTAATAAAATGGACCGTGACATTTCCTTCTTTCTCTTTGAAGAAGGGTGACCTTGGTTTCAGAGACTGTCACTGCATTCCCAGGGAATTCGGTTTATACTTTGAATGCTGACTTCTCTGAGATTCGGTCTTCATCTCCTTTTAATGGGACAGAGAACTATTTCTGTCTCTTTATTAAGGTCTGAATGATCTATTTTAAACTGATTGTTCTCTGAAATGTAATTTTGCTACAAACATCTCAGTGATGTTTGGCACAATTAAGTAAAAAAAAAAAACCCCAAAATAACAAACTTGCCTTTATTTTGAAGCCATCTAATCAACTGACCCTCTTTCCCCCTGGTGGTTTTGATATCTCACTGAGCACGTAGTAATGAACTCAACCTTGAATGAACCCAACCATTCAGACTGGTTAATTTAGGTGTTTTCATGCTGTCCTGACCCGACCCTGGGCATTTATTTAATTTTTTTTTACCTAGTCAGGTTTCTGAACTTAATGTTTTTGCATCACAGGTAACAATGTTAATCAAACCTCAAGAGGAACATATTTCTGAAACTTCCACTGCATTTTTTAACTTAAATTATCTAAGTGCTTGGCTCTTGTCAAGATTTAAATTCTTCTATACTTTCAGTGACACATTAAGAGTTTTGTTTATAAAGATATCTTTTTATTAATGCTTAATGTAAAGATATTTTCTGTGGGGTTGTTTCTGAGCATATTTTTTCCTAAAAAGTGGTCTACATTATGTGATCAAAAAGAAAAAAAAGATGCTAGACTCCTTTCCCTCCCATATATATATATATATTCATATTCTATATCTGTATATATTCATATGTACATATACACTCATACAGAATATATATTCCATAGGTTTATACATTCATATGTACATATGTAGTCACATATATTCACATACACACCTATGCACCTGCATAGTCACATATATGTAACTTCCATCAGAACTATAAATAGGTATAGCCAAATGCATTATTTTGGCATGATTTTGCCAAATGTTTCATGTTTCCGCATTCTACATTGCTGTAAAATGGTGATTTTCAGCCTATGCGCTGTGGCACGCTGGTGTACTACAAGAATTTGTAAAACACGCAATACCTGACTATTCAGTCGGTGGTCCTGACCTCTTTCCCCTCAGATTGGCAAATAAAAAATGACGATAGCCAATACAACAGTAGTCATCAGGTGTGAATGAATCACAATTATACCTATTTTATTTGTCAGATTGGCAAAAAAATGTAGTGACTTTTTGGTATGCTGCAGAATTGTAGTAATTATGTGAGCCATGAAATGAAAAAGGTTGCAAATCACTGGTCTAAGGACAAGCTTACAGCCTCGCATTTAAGTAGAATGATCAGTTCTAGACGTGGGTGGTTAAAACACGCCTGTTGCAGTGAGAGCTGACCAGGCAGGGTCATGCCTTTCTGACTCTTCTGTGAACGCCCTCAGCTCCTAGCACCTGGGGCTGGTGTTAGCCCCTCTGCGTCCCGAACCTCAGCCCCCGCCTGTGACTGAATTCTCAGAGCTCATTTCCCTGCACCATGGAGGCTGTTTGTCATCAAGGAACCCACCTATGAAACAGTCACTCTGTTACTGTACTTCTGCATTGAAATGACTGATACGCTGGATATAGACAATGAGTGTTTGTGAGAACAAGGGACTGACTTTTCCCAAATCAGTGTGTGTGAGTTTGTGTGCACGTGTGTTTTTGGAGGAAGCATTAAAGTTAAGAAAATAGGTGAGTGTAGAGTGATTTTTAGAGAGAGTGTTGAAGAAAAGTTAGCTATGAGTGGGAAAAGGGCCCAAGTTGTTTAAGTTCAGGGGCTTCCTGGTGGAGAAATACCATAGAGGAACCATCATGGAGTATCGGCAAATTGTAGGAAGAACAATTTTAACCCCAAGGGCAAGGCTTTACTCACAGTGTTGCCATAAGAGGGACTCGATGGGGGAGACACACCCCTTGGAGGTAAAGTAAAAAAAATCCCAGATTTATTATTTAAATTAGAGACCATGTGCACTTGTGATTTTCCTAACTGCGTAGTTTACACTCTAAGGCTGTTCCATTCAGTGAATGAATCTTACCAGGTGAGAGAAATGCAGAAGGTTCTGGTGAGTGCACAGTGGCTTCAGAGCCTTTTAACAATCCTAGCTTACGTGCTTTACTGTAGTTCACACACACGTTCACTCTTGCTCAAGAATCATCAACCCTCTTTATTACCATGACACAAGGAAAATTCTTTGCCTTCTTAAATGCAAATAGTAGTCTCTTCTTTTCATGGACGCAAAGGCAAATTGTACTGTGGAGTTCTCGTGACCGAGGCAAACCAAGAGTGCTTGGTACATGTCTAGCCGAGGGATGGATTCCGTAAACTGAGTCCGATGCTTCCCTTTTCAGAGCGGAAAGAAGTTCCCTGGACCTTGTGGAGGAAGAGATTGCTCTGCCTGCCAGTGCGTCCCTGAGAAGGGGTCTCGGGTGAGTGATCCAAACACCACGTGGAGGTGGGTGCGGGGTTGGGGGGCACCAGGGATGGGGAGTTAGTCATGGAAGGGAACGAACTTCCAGTTTAGCCAGAGGAGTGAGCCTGGAGATGGTCTCCGCACAACATTCTGCCTGTAGTCAGTAGTAATGTATTCTCCCGTTAAGCATTTGTTGAGAGGGTTAACCTCATATAAAGTGTTCCTATCACAATAAAACTTAAAAAAATCAACATGGACAGCACACTGGATTTGGAGCCATTGGGAATATTTGATACTAAGTAGCCCCAGATTCTTAGCATGTTCTGATAGTCACGAGTGTTTGTCTCTTTTAAAATTAAAGTTAGCCCTGGCTGGTGTAACTCAGTGGGCTGAGCACGGGCCATAACCAAAAGGTGGCCAGTTCTATTCCCAGTCAGGGCACATGCCTGGGTTGCAGGCCGGGTCCCTGGTAGGGGCCACCTGTGAGGCAACCACACACTGATGTTTCTCTCCCTCTCTTTCTTCCTCCCTTCCCCTCTCTCTAAAAATAAATAAAATCTTTAAAAAATAAAAATCAAAGTTCTGTACATTCTGATCTGTCCCAAGAGGATTAGACCACGAGTCAGGCTTCGCAGACAGTCTGGGAAGCAGGGCTCACCCAGTGTTTTATACCCAGCTCTGCGAACTGCCCCACGCAGGGAGGGCCGAGCGCTAAGGGAGACAAGTGGGGTTGCTCTCTCAACCAAGTTGCCTATCAGCATTTACAAGGCTCTGAGAAGTACCACTGTGAGTTGGTTTGTTTTTTTAAAGAAATTTGGCCAGTACTATTGAAGTTGAGCTTTTTTTTCTATTTTAAATTTTTTTAGAGAGAGGGGAAAGGAGGGAGAAAAAGGGGAAGAGAAGCATCACTGTGTGGCTGCCTTTCACATGCCCCCCAACCACTGACCTGGCCCGAAACCCAGGCATGTGCCCTGGCTGGGAATCGAACCGGCGACCCTTTGGTTTGCAGGCCAGCACTCAACTGACTGAGCCACAGCAGCCAGGGCAACAGCCCATTGTCTTGCAGCTGACATACAATATTGTATCAGCGTCAGGTGCACAGGCCAGTGGCAGACAATTACATGTAACTTACAAAGCAATCACCCAGACGTGTGCAGCACCCCTCTGGTGGCACACACGGTGATTGCATTAGCACTGCCTGTGTTCCTTAGGCTGGCCTTCACACCCTCCTGACTACTCTAATGATTGGAAATTCATGCTTCGGGACGTCATTTAAAAACAAAAGGCGCAGACCTCCAATTATTAAGTCCTAGAGCTGTAATGCTCAGCATGATGACGAGTTAACACCACTGTGTTCTGTGTTTGGAAGCTGCTAACGAAGCAGATCTTCAAAGTCCTCCTCACAAGAAAAGTGTTGGCAGCTGTGTGTGGTGATGGCTGTTACCTGCACTTACTGTGGTGACCATTTGGAATACATACAAAAAACAAATCACTGTGTCGTATACCTGCGTCCAGTATCATATTTTATGTCAATTAATCTCAGTTTTCTACAACTAGGGATGCTAAAAACCAGCAATCCGAGAAATGCTTTAGCTTTTCCTATGTAAATATCCACGTTATTCGGGTAAGAAAAAGCCTGGCTTTTGTTGTAGGCTGTTAATATAAACACATTAAGATTGTATAAACGAAAGAGAATAGAAATCAGTGCATCAAAATTTGAAGACTCTCTGAGCCTGAGACCCGAGAAGTAGGGATCGGTCAGCTCTGTGGCAGGAATCGGGTGGTGGGACCACACAGCAAAGTGGAACAGCTGCTTAGCTAAAGCCAGCTCGGTGGGGTCCTCCAATTTAAACGAGGCTGAAAGTGGATTTCACAGGGTCACTTGGTGATGTCTAGAGACATTTTCTGGTTGTCACAAATGGGTGGAGGAGGGTGTTGCTGGTTCTGCTGGGTAGAGGCCAGGGATGCTGCTCACCATCCTTCCATGCACAGGACAGTCCCCACACTGAAGACTTCCCTGTCCCCAGCTGCCATAGTGCCAAGGCTGAGGAACCCTGCCCCAATCCTACACCAGCTGTGAAGCCACTGTAACTATTATTTCTATGTGTCGATACACAGAACAGAGTTTCCAAGAATTTTAAGCAGCTTGCTAGTCTGTGGAAGAAGCAGGAAGCACACCCAGGTATCTGGCTTCCACCCAGCCTTTGCCCCAGGATCAATGAGAAGATGATTGCACACAGGTTCAGACATGAGTTTTAGCATAACTCTGTGAACGCAGGTGGACACTTAGATCTGCCCAAGGCTTGGTGTTTTCATATTTGTACTATGCATCCTTTCTTCTCTGTTTCCTTGGGCTGTTCAGCAATCACAAGTAATTGCATATGTAGAGGGTACACTCTGTGGGCACACTTTGTGTCCTATAAGAGAGTGATCAGCCCCCGGGTTAGGAGAGCGAGTGGGGAGGCTGCACAGTCTGCTGTCTGCGTCCCTGATTCTGGGTGGTCATGGATTGCTGTGTGCGGAACACTGATTGCCCTCTGCTCTTCCTGAGACAGATGGGTCCTGTGGGAGGGATGCAAGTTCACGTGGACGTTTTCCAGCTGGGAATCTGGGATCATGGCTCGTGCGTTACTGGAGGTGGTTTGGGAGGCAGGCGCTGCCATTTGTCAGCAGCCGGCAACTCGTGTACCATCTGTTGAACCACACTGACAACTCAAGGTGGACTACAAAACTAGGAATATAATGAATTCAGGAAACCTGAGCATCCGTTGGAGGCAGCACAGCCCGTTAGCAGCACAGCCAGGCATTCATTCCTAAGAAAGAAATGATGTTCTCTCCCATGGCTTAATGCCTGAGCGAGCAGTTTGTTCGAGCCCCAAATCAAAACTGCTGGGTCTAAGGCAATTGTTGGGAAGCCAGCTGCCCCTCACCCTAGAATGACTGAGGCTAGGGTTTTAACGGGACGCTGAAGCTCCAGTCTGACACAGAGTTGGGACGGGTCCAAGGGCAGCTTCCCCGGTGCCAACAGAATGAAGTTCAGTGTCACCAGTGTATGGCTGGGGGCCACAGTCTAGCCTCAATGTGTGTTTTCGTCAGTAATCACTATGACTTCCCCTTTGATCCTCTCCAGCTGCAGGGCCCTCACTCTCCCCTGAACGTTGTCTGAATCTTCCCACTTCTCTGGCTGTTTCTGGAATGCCTTTGCACTTCCAGTCTGCGTCTATCTCTCCTGCCCTCCCCAAAGGAGCTCTGTGTAGATGCCACCCCCTGAAGCCTCCTGTCATTCTAGGAGGCTGGTGGCCAGGCTGCAGTGCGCATTTGGGACACCTGTCATATCCCAGAGAAGGGGAATGGAATTAGTGGGGACCATCTCTCACAGCCGTCTCCCACCCCTGCCCCCCCAGCATTTAAATCTGCTATTAAATGGGTCATCGCACATAGTTCAACCCCCTGTGTGAATTTCAGGTAGGGTCAGTAACAAACATGACCGTGGCTGCACCTGGACCTTCTAAGGGTTCAGTAGCCTCCTGGAAAAACCTAGACACTGTGGCGGAGACCGAGGCTTAACCCTCTGTACCCGAGGGCGGTCGCGTCCTCCCAGCTCCGCAGCCTGTGGTCCTATGACGGGAAGCATGGCTTCCATGCTCAACAGCTGCGTAATTGGCTTCCCAACACATTCTGTGACTGTCATAACATTTCCCCAAACTTTGTGACAATCCCTCTTTAAGGAGGTGATGAGGTGGCTTTGGGAAGGATTTTAAACGATTCATGATCAGTTTCAGGGGAAGAAACTTGCACATTTTTGATGGTTGTCTCCCTGCAGGAAAAATTACGCGTCTTTATGGACTAGAATAGGGCCTTTGATAAGTTCTGCTTTAGTGACTAGTGTGATAATGACGTTTTATGATAGTATTTTTAGAATATATTTTTACCGTCCCCATTCAAAAGAGTATCACAACTGTTAAATCAACACAACTTTGTAATTTAGTGGTTTTATAGACAAGAAGGTGAAATGGCTTAAAATTTAAGACCTTAGTTATTTTGGGGTGAACACTAAAATCACACATTAACAAATCGGCCATTTCTCTGGCTAAATCACTAAAAAGTGTACAAGTGTTTTTTCGGCAATCTCAATCACTTGTTCCTCATACTTCTACAAGAGCCTGTGTTTCATGGTAAAAATGAAATTTACTCGGGAAGTTTGAATCGACGTTAACAGTTCCCTATTAAATGAACACAGTATTCTGCAATCCAGTCTCTGTCACTCACGCAACTGGGTCCTAGTGCCGTGTGACAAATGGTTCAGACCCAGTGTTTTTCGTGTCCCAAAGCCCACATACGTCAGCTATGCTGTCACGAGGTGAGCCGTTCCAATGACAGCCGCGATGTTGGCAGATTTGGTCTGTCAGCCACCTCGCAGATGATTTATTCTGCTTTCTCCATTTTTTGCCCCCTCTCCTCCAAGAACTAACTCCCTAGCCTAAAGTGGCAGATCCAGGTGCCACCAGGGGACAGCAAGTCACTGGATGAGGATGTGACACTTGACCTTGGGGACCTTAGAGAGCTGTGTAATTCTTTTGACATGTAAAGTCATCAAAATTCAAAATCCAAAAACAAAACCCCCCAAACAGGGCCCAGCAATTAAACAAATGTCCCGGTAGAACTCAGCTGCCAGTCTGCAACTTTGACGTCGCTTGTTAAAATGCTTCCCCGGACAGGGGTCCTGACCTTGATTTTTGAAGAGTGACAAACTTGAAAAAGTGAAGAGCATAAATCTTCAGTTATGGGATTTAAAAATTTTTTTGCAGGTGCCTGAGGAAGTATTTCTGAGCAGGGCGTGGGGGCCTGGGAGGCCGTGGGAGGAGACATACCTATCATTTCACACTGTTTGGCTTACTAATAACCACAGTGGTAGCGGCAGCGGCTGACAGCTATAAATGGAAGAAGAACTCCGACTCACTGACATGGCTTTCAGGATGCCGGCGAATCCCTCTCCTTCAGTCTAACATTTTGGGG